GGATGGCAGGTGGGGAGCTCAGAGCGTTCATCATACAGGGCTTAAGGGCCATATGGTACCAGCCCCTGAACACAAGCCTGGCCATGCATTCCCAGCGTCACAAGGGCCACACCTAGGGTTGCCAACTGTGATGGAAGCTATTCTGGGAGATTCCCCCTCCCCCGCCCTCCGAACATGACAATGTCATTTTCTTTAAATATCCTATTCAAATCTCCCAGATTGCTTTCAATAGTCACCGGGAAATCAGTTCCAGGAGACTCCAGGCCAATCCTGGAGGGTTGGCAACTCTCTAGCCACACACATGCAGCATGGATTTTCTACAGCCCCGTCAATGCCTTTCATGGGGTGCATTGTGCATCTCTGGGGCATATTGGTACCCACCCCATAGGGCACGTTGTGCAGGTGTGCTTTGCCTTTCCAGTGCTGTACAGTCACATTACTGCAGGGCCTGCTGCATTTCTATCAGGCCTTTGGGACATCCCCTTCCTCCCCATGGGGCATCGTTTGGCGGGTACCATGGCAGTGAAGTCCCCCAGTGGCACACTGAGCTGAAATGTGAACAGGCACACAGGCAGAGGGATGGGGGTGCAAAGGCCTTGCCTGGATCCCCTACGTGCTACCTGCCCATCACCAGCACTCCAAGCCCAGGGGAGATAGATGGGCCTCTCCCCCAGGGAGAGAGAGGTCCTGGGCCTGGCTGCTGGGAAAGCATCCTGCTGGGAGCAGCCGTGCCCTGGCCAGGACTGGAGGCCTTGTCCATGTGGCTCCCATTCGCCCCGCACTCCTAATCTATGCGCAGGATTCTCTGCTGAAACCAGCAAGGCAGCAGGGGGCCCAGTGAAACCCAGGGGGAGCCGGCTGCTGCACAAGGCCCTGCAGATAAGCAGCAAATCCCTGATAGCACCCCCAGCACACCTCAGTGCAAAGTCAAACAGCCCTGGGCTTGGAGAGGAGCAGATAAAGAGCCCGCCTGGCCCTTCTTCAGGGGAACAAAGACCTCCACTAACAGCTAGCAATAAAGCACTGACACTTCCCATTAACACTTCCCAACAGAGAACAAGGGGGCAGCGGGCGGGGCCTGGGGCTCATTGTCCCACAGGAGGCCCCATGAAAGGCCTGTGAGGATTATCCAGGTGCAGCAGTTGAGCTGCCTTGTTAGCGGCATCAAGGGGTCTTCAGCATCCATCTCACACCTGCACTGGCTGCAGATCCCCTCCCAGCAGAGCTCTGGGGTTTGGTTAAAGGGCTGGTGTGTGGCCATCTAAGGGTATGTCTACACTACAGGATTAATCCGAATTTAGATAATTCGAATTTGGGAAACAGGTTGTATAAATTCGATTGTGCGCGGCCACACTAAGCACCTTAATTCGGTTTTAAACCACATTAATTCGGTGGTGTGCGGCCACACTACCCCATTAACTTAAACACAGTAATTCGGTGGTGTGCGTCCACACTAACTCTAATTCGAATTAACAAAATCGATTTAGGCTCTACTCCGTTCGTCGAGGTGGAGTACAGAAATCGATTTAAAGGGCCCTTTAATTCGAATTAACTGGCTCTGTAGTGTGGACGGGTGAAGGGTTAATTCGGATTAAGGCAGCTAAATCCGAATTAAAGTCCTAGTGTAGACCAGGCCTAACACTAACATGTAGGGTGACCAGATGTCCCGATTTTATAGGGACAGTCCTGATTTTGGGGTCTTTTTCTTATATAGTCTCCTATTACCCCCCACCCTCTGTCCTGATTTTTCAAACTTGTGTCTGGTCACCCTACTAACATGTCTCCACACGGTCTGCTTAGTCCTCAGCTCCATCAGGCTGCCACCAAGGGGTGGGGTGGACAGTCACCCTCCCAGCTTTAGTGGTGGGGAAACTGAGGCACAGAGCTTAAGTGCCCTGTCCAAAGCTATGAGTGTTAGAGCAGGGAACAGAACCCAGGAGTCCTGGCTCGCACCCCTCTAGGCCTCGCTTTCTCTCCACCCAAAGTGATGGCAGTACACAGAGATAGGAGGCCCTACCCCCCCCCCCCCCAACCACTAGATCCCACTCCCTCCCAGCACCAGAACAGACCCAGGAGTCCCAGTGCCCTGGTGTTCTTTGCCCTGGAGTCAGTCCAGCCCCAGGGAAAACGAGAGAGCTGCCAATTTCTGCCTCAGACTAAGCCAGGGGAGTCCCCCGCAGCTCCCGGGGAACCCGAGCACACATCGGGGTGCACCATGGGCAGAGAGCCCTGCCCCAGAGCCTGCCGCTTGCAGTCCTGACCGCACAGCGCGCACAGGCTGCATTCCAGAGCAGGCTCTTTCTGCGGTGACTTCATGGCAGGAATGCAGCTTCAAACAGGAAGCGAGGAGGCGCCAGGAATGCTGCTCCTGGCCTTTGGCACAGTGTTTTGTTTGTGCTTCTTAAAGGGCTGGATTCTCCCCCTTCCCCCTCCCCAACTTGACCTCTTGGGGATCAGTGACCCCCCGCCACCTTTCCAATTCAGTCCCCACCCCACAGGCATTCCAGCCACAGAGACGCCCCGCGCCAGAGAAACGGGACGCAGCTGGGAGGCTGGGCAGAGCAGCGACTGCAGGATGCTGCACGTCCAACAGACTTGCGCCACAATCACCCCATCCCACGTGGCCCAGGCGCAGGACAGGGGCCTAAGACTCCTGGGTTCTTGTTTCCAGCTCCCATACACATTCCCTCTATGGCGACGGACAAGAGGCCTAACAGAGGGGTGGCAGGAGCTCCTGAGTTTCAAACCCAGCTCTGCCACCCATTCCCTCTGCATCCTCAGGCACATCACATCCCCAGTGATGCTACACACCTACCACTCAGGGGGTGGAGAGGCTGGGCTGTGACAGAGGAAAGTCCCATGAAGCCACTTCCTCTCCCCGCACCCCCCTCCCCACTTACATTAGCATTCCCAGAGAGCTACTTACCCCTCACTGGGAAGCAAGATGAGGAGATGCCAGGCATGGGGTCTGGGTAGGAAGGTCTCTGCTGGCTAAGCAAGCTCAACCATCTCCCGGCCGATTTCAGGCTGCTACAGGCTCCTTAGCTGCTTCCAAGTCACTTGTCCCTGAAGCAGTTTGCAGATGCTGTTCCTAACGCAGACAGCCGGGCTGCTCCCCCAGGGCCAGTGAGTACTGCCCAATTGCTTCCATCCCTCTAGCAGAGCGGGACTGGGCACCCGAGTCCCCCTACAGGGCAATGCTCCTTCAGATCACCTGGGCAAGGGTCTGATCTCTGTGCACTGAGAAGGGGAGGGCTGGTCCTGCAGGTGCCATGCAGGTACCAAGCCAGGCAGGCGGCCAGCATTCAGGGCCACGTGCTCTGCAAGGGTCTGCATGTAGCTGTAGGGTGGTTGCCCATGACCCTTTCTTCCCTGGCACAGCGGGATACTAATGCCCCAGGGAACACCAGACATGGGCACACTGGTACCCGTGGCCTCTCCTCCAGCAGCTGGGATGGAGCACAGGTACTGCGCTGGCCTGCCTGCCTCCCTCTCCTGTGCATCTGGCAGCCACCGGCCTGGTGCTCGCCCCACGGTCAGAACACACCTAGCCCCATGGGCCTGGACAGCCTTTGAGCTCTGCTTGCTAGCGCTGTTCTGCATCTCTGTGCAGGCCCCCCGTCAGGTAACCACCACCTGGGCAGGGAGCGGGGCCCTGCTCCAGCCGGCTTGCCTCCCCCTTCCCCAGCCATGCCTTTTGCCAGAGGAGCCCACAGATGTTGCAAGAGCAAAGCTCCGTGGGGCAACGCTGCTCTAACGAGCTCCCTGCTCTGCACATGCACTCAGCTGCCTGCTGCGAGGGGACCTGCTAGGTCAGGGCATCGCTGCCTCAGGATCTGGCCCACGCCCACCCACAATGCACTGCTGCCCGAGCAGCCAGGGCCTTCTCTCCTGCAAACACAAACACAAACACACACACACACACACACGCGCGCGCCCAGGAGGCTTTGGCCTGGCTGCACCATCCCAAGTCAGTGCAATGTGCTGAAGGGAAGCTGCTGCCCTCCAGCGTCCAGCTGCCCACAGTGCACTCAAAGGAGGCAGGTGACAGCGGGCACTGCATTGTGCAGTGGGATCCGTCAGCCTAGCTGCTGCTGACCTCCGAGCAACACGCCCAACCAGGCCCCAGATGCCGCTGCCAGCGCCCCACCTGGGCTGGGACTACAGTGCAAACCTGGCTCCTGTGGGCCTGGGGCGCCCACCCTCACCCACATTGTATCCTGCACCCCGGAGCTAGCGGCAGGGAGAGGCCCCACTGCTGCTGGAAATCTCCCCAGGTTGCACCGGGCTGCTCAATTAACTGGTAGGTTGGCCACGGAGCCTCCCAAGTCTACATTGGCCCCTGGGACTAGAGGTGCCCCCCCCTTCCATACCCCACCCAGCTTGGCAGAATACAGAAAGGGACTAAGCCCTGCACAATCCCTATCATGGGAAGGAGGGACCCCAGAGCATCCCCCTACATCCCTAATGGGAAGGTGCATTTCCTCCACCTCCAGGGTGTGCCCCTCTGATAGGAATGGGTATTTCCCTCATCAACCCCCTCTCTATTCTCCCCCACACACCTGTCTGTCTCTATCCCGACACAGGTGGGTGGGACGCACCCCGTTCCTTTAAGCCCCATTGGTCCTGGCGAAAAAGCATGCTCCCCCTCCCTCTTGGCTGCATCCACAGACCAGACACAGGAGCGGGCAGGTGCGGGGCAGGTATATATATTATATTTTATATAGAGATCTGGTTTAATACCTTTGAGAAGCTTTACAAAGTCAGTGTACAAAGCTGTGCCTATCCCATTCCCCCCTGCAATGCCCCCAGTACCTAAGTGTGTGAGCGCCACCCCCACCCTCCCCACTGCACCCAGACGCACGCACAGCTCCTGGCAGTGATCGTGAGAATGAGGCGATACAGCCGTCCTACAGTGTGTGTCTGTATCCTGGAGGTGGCCTGGTGAGAGGTACAGGGCCGGCAGCCCTGGAGTCCGAACCCTCTGCCCACTGAGCAGGCGGGACAAGCATCTCCCACAGCTGGGCACCTTAGGCCAGACGCCTTTTAAGAAACAGGCGGAGAACCAAACAAGCTCATTTCTGCAGCTGGACAACCACCAGCTGGGACTGGCTGAGCAGAGGGATCTGGATTTGAACTGGTGACCGAGAGGCCAAAGGCCACTCTTTATCCCATTCCCACCCGCTACCCTATACCTAACAGGCTCCCTCATCAGTTTCTCTCGATTGGCTGGCGGCAACAAGAGCAGTGAAGCCGACGGGCTGGGGAGCAGCAGGGGCAAGGGCCTGGCAGCCAATCGAGGGAGGCTGAGAGCAGGACACGGCAGTGAGACTCCCAGCATGGGAGGTGGCGTTTGTGCTTGGCGGAAGCCCCGGGGAGGGGGGGGCGGGCAGAGCCAGGGAGCCCCAGGCCCCATGCTCTCGGGTGCAGCTCAGGACTTGGAGGAGATGGCCGTGGCAGCGGCGGCGCCCTCCCCGAGGCCCTGGTAGCGCTGGCGGGCGTGCTTCTCGCAGTACAGCTCCTCGCCCACCCAGAAGTGGCCCCGCATCTTGAGGTTGAGGCCACAGTCGGCACAGATATAGCAGGAGGGGTGGCGGTACCGGCTCTCCTGGATTCGCACCGCCTGGGTCCTGCGGGAGACAGCGTGGACATGGTCAGCTGGGAGGAAAAGCTGGCCAACAGCATCCCAGCGCTACTGCCCCCAGAGCCACCCCTTCAAATCCCAACAGGGTCAACTCTGCCTTCCGTTCTCCCAAGCTACGGCCAAGCCATTCAAGAAACGGGTTCCTGCCTGCTCCGTGGGGACATCCCTGAGACCAGGGCACCTTCCTCTGAACTCCAGCCTCAGGCCGCTCACCATGGCATTGCTCCAGCCGCTCGGAGCAGCTCTCACTGCTTCAGTAACCAGCCGAGCGGGAGAGTAGCCCCAGAAGCCTTTCTGTGTGCACAGAAAGGCACGGAGAAGGGCGACCACGTGGCCACCTCCACCTCGTCCCTAGGGGTTAATGCAGCCAAGCCCCATGCCTAGCCACGCTTCGACGGGCAAAAGGGCACATGGGCTTGGGTCCGTGGGTCTGAACTGCCCCAGAGCCCGGAGAAGGATGGATCCCCATCTCCAATGCTGCAGACATTTGCGAAGCCTTCCCAGATGGGGAAACTGAGGCACAGAGGGGGAACGGGACTTGCAAAGGGCATCGGTGGCAGGGGTGGGGATAGAACCCAGGAGATCGACGCCCAGTTCCTGTGCTCTCATTGCTATACCAGTGCATCAGCCTTCTGTATTCTGCCAATGCCATTCCGCACCCCCGCCTAGCAATATGGGCGGGGCAGGCTGCTCCCCACCTAGACCGCTTCCCCTTGGCCAGGAACTGAACCCAGGAGTCTGGACTCTGAGCACCAGGCTGACACCCTCTCCTGCCGAACGGAGATGAGGCCTGGCTTGCAGGAGCTAGCACTGGGGGCTGGAAGGACAAGAGAGCCCGGGCTTGCTGCGAGTTCCCGACTGGGCTCTCCCCCCAGAAATCCTGGGATAAATGGAGCCGTCAGCCCGAAGGGAGGTTAAGAGTCTCCAGAGTCTCCCTCCCCCGCATTAGCCACACTCACGTGATGCCGGTGCCGCACTTCTCACATGTGTGCAGCTTCTGAACCCCGGCCACGGAGCTGGTGACTGGCTTGTGGGTGCTGGGGGACAGCTTGCTGGGAAAGGGGGTCGTGGTGCCCGCTGAAAAGGAGAGCAAGGGAGACATTAGGATCAAGGATGCACTCCCATGTCCACAGACCCTCCCCAGGCCTCCCCACACACTGCCCTGGACCCCAAAGACTAATCTCCTCCACCCCGACCCTTCCATCCATGCAGAACCCCATACCCTGGAGACTATCACACCCCTGCCCTTGTCCTGGCCCCTCTGCTCTCCTTTTCTGGACTCCTGCCTACTCCCTTCTCTGCCCCAGTTCCTTCCAGCCTCTGCTCACCTCCCCCATCAGTCTCCAGAGCCACCTGGAGCAGGCGGAAGGTGTTGGATTGCCGCGGAGCGGCCCGGATCTCGCGGTTCTCCTGCATCATTTTGTAGACCTCGGAGTCCTCCTCCAAGCGCCGCATGGCCGGCTCCGAGTCCAGGCTGCGGAGAGAGCAGGCCCTGATGTATAGCAGCCCCACTGAAGAACACAGAGGGCCTAGCTATGTCCAGCCCCAGGCACCCAGCACGAGGTGGAGCAGGGAGCAAGATCCCGGCCAATCAGCCCTGCTAACCACCCACTGCGTGCAGCTACCCACCTGGAAGCCTCGGTGCTCCAGAAAGGGGCAGGGGGCTCGTCCCATCCCGACACAAGGAGCATTTAAGGTCCCCTCACCCGCCAAAGCTCCAAGCGAATCCCTGTTGTGCCAAGGCAGCAGCAGCCTGGCCGCGGGCAGGGTGTTCAGACAATCCAACCCCCTCAGCGTGCCAGCTTGGGGACCCAGAGGTGACTGCTAACCCCCTATCCAGAGGGGCCCCTGGGGCCACAGTCCCCCATCTCTAGGGAGGAACTGGCAGGATCTCCCTCCCCCCTTGATTCCAGTCAGGATGAGGTACCTGCAGCTCCCATCCCAAGGGAGGAGAGACCCCAGCTGCTGAGCTCCGCTGACCGAGCCAACTCCTCACCCCAGGCACAGACAACTCTGTGCCCAACAGCCCGTCCCACCTGAGTTGTTCAGGGGGGTGCCTTTCTAGCCCACACCTCTGCACTTCCTCCATGAGGAAACCCGGGGGCCACAGCCCAGCCAGCACCCTGCATCCCATACACATGGCCAGTTCCTCCTGTGGGTGGGAACTGGGAATTCACACCCCTCCAAATACCTACCCCAAGGCCCTGCCAAGGGGGCGAGCCTGCTGCCCCTTCGGTCTCTCTGCAGGCCCAGTCTCCAGCTCTCTGTGCTGACAAGGCGCTGACGCTCCCTGGCCAGGGTGACGCCCAGGCCTGCCCTGCTCCTTCCCACGCACACCTGGATCAGCTGAGTTAACCCTTGCATGGCTCCCTGGGCCAGGGGAACCCCTGGTGAGCAGGCTGGGGCCTGGGATCTCTGGGCAGGGATTTCCCAGCCTACCAGAGGGCTCCCCCACCCCCACAACTCCACTCTCAGCCAGGGGCCCGTTCTCTCCAAAGGTGCCTTGTCTCACTCTCAGCTACTCCAGTGCTTGGCTCCCCTCACCACCCCCTGCCCCCCCGCAATGCTGGCAGACCTCAGGCCCAGCCTGCGCAGCACCTTGGCAGAGCTCAGCAGAGCAGCAGGGGGTGCCGTGGGTCTGGACAGAGGTACGTTGGCAGGGCTGTGGGACTAGACTAGCAAGGGTGGGGGGGTGAGGTAGGAACAGGACGCCTTTAAGGAAGCAGCTCTGGTGATGCGGCTCAATCCCAACCTGACCCCCACAACCCCAACCAGACCCAGTCTCCCCAGGATATGCACCCCTGAACTGACCTCACAGCCCCGCCCTCAATCTCCCAGCTCAGCTGAGACCCAAGAGACCCCTCCCCAGACCCAGATCCCACAACGTGCCTCAGTCTCCAGCCCCCTCACTGCCCCGCTGAGGCGATTCACCTCGACCCAACCCCCCTCACACTCTCCAAATCAGTTCAAGGCTGGCACCGCTCTGCCAACGCCCCTTCGCCCTGAATGGCAGCATCCTCCGGGTCCTCTTGCCAGCCTGGCTTATGTCACACTTCCCCTGGAGCCCTGTGGGTCACAGACTGATTCCCCGCAGCATCCTTCGCTCTGGGCTGGGTCACACCCCCCTCCCTGCCCAAGCCCCAGCTGGCGAGCCAGGCTTACCTGTTGCGGGGGCTGTACGAGGGCGAGGCCCTGCCCGGGGCCCTCCCCATCTCCCAGGGGCCGAGAGGGGATGGTGTGCGGTTGATCAGAGGCAGAGCTGCAACTGGAGAGCTGCTCGGGTGGCACAAGCTGCCTCGCTCCTGGGACACAAGAGAGAGAAGGAAGGAGCGTGAGGAGCCAGACCCTGAGTGAGGCTGGCGCAGAACTTGGGGACCCAGCCTTCCCAAGCCAGAGCTCTGCTTGCTAGGCCACGGCACCCGTCCCGATGCCTTAGCAAGGGACAAGTCAAGCTGTGGATACTAGCGAATGGGATGCCGCAGGGCAGGAGTGCTTTGTGCAGACACTCAACGGGTCCAGCCCGTTTTCACCCCGCAGGATACAAGAGCGTGGCCCTTTCACATTCACCCAGGGCTGCACGGCATGCTCCGGCCACTAGAGGACGCCCCTGACCCACAGTCCAGACATCTCCTCCCTGCTGCTGGAGTGTTTCCCAGCAGAGCAAAGGGGACCCCTCAGACCTGCGGCTCCTGGCTGGGGAGACGCACACGGCAACGCCCTCCCTGTCCCACAGGGCCCTGGCCCACAATGCAGGGCTGGTTTCCGGGGGCCCCCCAGCCGGGGCGTGAGAGGTGCAGAGAGGGCTCTGTTTGCTGGGGGAAGTGGGCAATGGATAGATCTGCAAGAGGCAGACGCCCCATCAGCTTGCAAGGGAGATGGAGGCTCTGCTCATCCTGGCACTATGCGGTGAGCTGCACGTGCTCATTCCACCCCAGAGCAAGCAAAGGACGTTCTGGGTAATCACACCCTCTTGGAGCAGGCCCTGGAAGGGGTCCCCGGCCGCCCCACCAAGCCGGTGCCAGTTCCAAGGCCAGCCAGACCCTGCTCCCCTCCATGGGGATTGGAGGGAAACGGGCCCAGCACAGCACCCCTCCCCGCTTGCTCCCCACCCCTGCCAGAGCCCTGGCTCCTTTCTGCAAGGACCAGCCAGCTACGCAGCACCAGGCAGACATGCCCCTCTCCTCCCCGTCACGGTGCTGCCCGGCGCCCTCTCTGCCAGTGCTGTGTCTCTGCCCAGCATGCCTATTTCTGGGTCGGCTCTAGCCAAATCCAGGAGACACTCCCTCCCGCCCCCCCAAAAAAAGCCTGTTATTTTAAGCCTGTGCTGCTAGCCCAGAAATGCTCCTCCAACGGCATCTGCTCCTGTTTAACGGCCCTGGAGCCACAAGAAAGGCGAAACCCCGGATAAGTGGAAGCAAATGTTTCTGGGAGAAAAACTCGACAGAGCACACCCCGCAAGCCAGCAGAGCCCGGCTGCTCAGCCTTCCATCCAAGGAGGAAAGTAGAGGGGTCTGGTCCCCTTCCCCGGGGCAGGGAATCTGGCTGGCTCAGATCTCTGCAAGGAGCCAAGCACAGAGCCCACGAGTGTGTACCTGTGCCATGCGCACTGCAACCCTCGTGTTCCCTGGCCCCAGAGTGGCCCAATAGAGATTACGGTGCCAATCGATCCCTTAGAGACTCTCCTTGCAGTTCCGCCTGCACTTTAAGCATCCGTCCTCCCATCAGCGACACTCCAGCTCTCACAATGCAGCGAGGTCCGGCCATATCAACGTGCCACACGCCAGGCCCTGCAGTTAACTCGAGCGTCCCAAAGACAGACCCTCGGGAGGCGGGGGGGAGTCATTGGGAATCAAGAGACAGGCAGGTTGGGGGGGATGGTCTAGCCTCTGGGGCCCTCTTTGCTGCTAGAAAGAGCTAAGCAGTTGCCAAGGAGCCATGTGTCTCAGGGAAAGCATCCCTGCTCAGCTCCCGCACACTGGGGTCCTGTCTCCCCATCTCCGATCCCACCCGCAGGGCCCCAGCTCTAATGTGGCCTCCAGGCAGGGAGGAGCCCACCAGGGCCCAGAGACCAAAGCAAATAAACGCTGGGAAGGAAGGAGAGAACAAACCAGCAGGGGAAGCCAAGGGTCTGCTGGGGCCGAGCCCGCTGCCAGCTGGAACAGGCCATGCTCCGGGGCCACCACGCTTCCCAATTTGGGCTTGAAAAATATCCCCAGCCCCGAGAAAATAAAGAAAGCTAAGGAGGGGAGGGAGAGGGCCCCCGGAGTCGGCGGCTGCCACGGAGCGGAGCCAGGAGGAACAAGCAGCAGCAGTGCCCAGGCCCAGGAGAAACACGCTGGAGAGGATGGGAGCCAAGAAAATGCTGGGCCAACGCGAAGTGGGGCGTGCTAGGATGTGGCTCTGGGCACTATGTCACCGGAGTGCACAGAACAGGCCCCCATGGGAAAGGGGAGGCTACAGGGTGTAAGATATGGGAGAGTCCAGGAGCCAGACCCCCTGGTGGGTCACAGGCTTCCCAGCACCTCACCCCGAGTGTAGGTTTGGCTAGAAAGTCGACTGGAGGCTTGCACTGCAACCGGCCTGGGCCACACTGCCCAGGCACCTCTGGGATAGGGAAGGCTGTACAGGGAGCCCAGTGGTGAGGAGCAGGGAACGGAGCCCACCGCCCCAGGGCAGCAGTGGGATGCAGCCCCTTGGAGCCAGGCTCTGCCGAGCGCCGGCAGGGCGGGTAACTGGGGCTCATGGCTCAGGTACTGGGCTGCAGCTCCCCAGCCCTGAACTCCCTGGAACTGCAGCTGTGGTGCCAGTGTGGCCTGGCTATCAGCACAGAGAACACACCCAGGACTGGGGAGGGGGCACTGGGGCAGGCAGTATCCAGCAACGAGGGAGGGCTTTGAACAGAGACTGAACAGCCCCCCCCAGAGGCAATGGAGCAAGCGGCTCCTCCAGGGAAGAGCAGAGGCTCCCAGGACCCAGCACGTGTCTTTGTGGAGGCAGCCTCCCCTGCCAACGCCCCTGCCTTGCATGCCCACGGGAAAGCAGCAGCATCTCCCCAAACTGGTTTTGCCTCCCCAGCCCTGAGCCGTTGCCTCGGAGACGCCAAGTAGAAACAGGCAAACATCCCCAGCCAGGTGCACTGCTGCCTGCGGGGACAGAGGTGGGATCCGGCTGCCTTAGTAACGGGGCCCAGCGCACGGCCTCAAGGGGGCGGCTGAGGAGGGGCAACATGGAGGCCAAAGCCCTCACTCCGCCAGGAGGGTCCCTCTGGGGCAGGACAGGAACATGGAGACTGGATGGAGGAGGCGGGCAAAGCTGGATGGACCAAGGGAGGAGCAGTCACAGCGCCAAAGGGCTGATGTGAACACCTCAACCCCCTCCGGCAGTAAAATCCCCTCCTGTTGCCACAATGGAGCTCTTCCCCAATCCTACAAATACACCTGGACCCAGACCCAGAGTCAGCACCGGGAGGGGAAGGGACAAACGCCCCAAGGAAAAATATCCCAGGAGAGGGGGGTTCAGAGACAGGCACTGGTGCAGATGGACAGACCACACCAATGAGTAGGACAGGGAAGGCAGTAGCGACACCCCAAATCAGCGACACCCAATGGCAGCATGTTTCAGATTGCTGCAAAATGGGTGGTTTGCCTGTGGGACTCGCTGCCACAAGATATTGCTGGGGCCAAGAGCTCAATAGGACTATGAAGACGGACTGGACTTTGCTACAGTGAGAATGTCCAGTTATCCCATCTGACAAAAAAGGGACAGCCAGCGACAGGAATTGCCAGCTGGGCCCCTGGCACCCTGGGCCCCCTGCGTTCAGAAACGAAGCATCCCAAACCCTGCGGGGGAATTGGAGGAGCTTGGGTCATTGGCCCCACACAGGGCCTCACGAGGCTTCCCGCAGCGGCCCAGGCAGGGGAAAGAGACAACATAACTCAGACTCTCCCACACAGACACACCTCCGCCCCAGCACAACGCCAGGTCCCCAGGGTACGAAGCCAACACCTGCCCCCTGCAGCGTCACACCCCAGCTCGATGGCGGGGGGATCCCCCCCAACACAGAACGCTGTGCACCTGGGATGCTGTTACCCAAGCGCCCTCCTGCTCACCTGTCTGCTGCCTGGACGCTGGTGCCCGTGGGGTGAGGGGGAGCGATCCTCAAAGACACTGGGAGAACTGGCCAGAGACTGGAAGCTGAAAGGGGGAAAAAAGTCCATGGGAAACCCATTCACAGGGGGAAATCACAAAAAGGGGTCAGCTGTACCCCATCGCCTCCACCCTGCCAGCCCCCCACACCTGTGCCATTCAAAGCCAGACGCATGGCACGCCCACCCCGCCTCTAACTGCCGGTGCTCGTTGCTCCAGCCATGAGCCTCTACCTCTCCTTGGTTCTGGGCCTTACCTGCGGCTGCTCGCCACTGTCTCCCCTCTGCCCTCGGAGGGCAGGCTGGGCCTCTGGGGGCTATAGGGGCTGCCGGGCCGGTACCCGGGTGACGAGGATGAGAAGGGGCTGCCGGGCCGGGGGCTGAGGGACGCCGGGCTGGAGTAGGAGGACCTCACCGAGCCCTGGCTGTCATCCCTGGTTCGTACGACATCCTGGGGAAAGATACTGTCAGCCAAGCGGGCTGGGGGATGGAGCCACCCCACACACCAGTCAGGATGGCCTGGCTCCCCGTCACTCCCCCTCCTTTGGGGTTGAGCAGGAAGGACCCTTGTGAGGGGAGAGGCCTTGGGATGGGCAAAGGCAGCCATGCCCTGAAATCTAGGCCCAGGGCCATTAACAGGCACAGCACCCTCCCCCCTACGGGCAGGGCTTGGGGCCAAGACATGGAGCTCCCGCTGGCAGGTGGGGCTGGATGTTTCCACTCTCCCCAGGGTCTGGGGAAGGACCTGGTGGTGAGCTGGGGATGGGAGGGGGTCTCACCTGGAACCGCATGGCCAACATCTCTGGGGAGCTCTCACCATTGGTCTGGCCAAGAGAGAACAACTGGGACCTGAGTGCAGTGGAAAGAGGGAGGAGATGGAGAGAGAGAGTGAGATCGGCCTGGCTGGTCCCCATTCCACCTTTGGGGCCTTGGGATGACACCCGGGACCAGAGAAGGCAGCTGGCTAGTTACCCCCTCTCGTGCCCTGCCCTGAGGCCACGTTCCTTGGTATACTGTGTCTGACAGACTGCACCAACTACCCTCCCCGTGGGAAAGCAGAAGAAGGATAAGCTGGGGGCACAGGCCTGGGACACAGGAGACCCAAGGTTTACTCCCTGCTCCACCACAGACTCTGCACCCTTGGGCAAGACCCCTAGCCCCTCAGTCCCCATCTGTCCAACGGGGTAACATTAATAACCTATCATCTTGTTTATTTGGCTGGTAGGAAACAGCCCGTTCCCCAGTGAGCTATTTACGTACAGCACCCGGAGCAACTGGGCCCTGATTTCAGTGGGGGCCTCAAGGTGCTACCAGAACAGTCTCCCCGTCAGCGAGGAAGAACTCGGCTCACCCCAGAGGCCTCGCTCCACCCAGCACGCTCCCTATCCAGGGACCTAGAGGGCCACAGTTAGAAGGACAAAGGGTTAAGAGGACTTCTTCCACTCCTGCTCCTGGTCCCAGCCCAGATGTGCTGGACGCAGCGCCAGCCCCGGAGGCCAGGCGGAGGGAGGAAGGGAATACAGGGCTGCTTCATATTCTCTCCCCCTCTCAGCAGGAACCTGCTGAGGGCTTTGATGTAGCCAGGAGCTGGAATTCATTAAGGGCAGTTAAATGGAGGGGTACAAATGGGACCGTAGGAATGCAACATGAGGGTGGGAGATGAGAGGAGTCATCCCCCCACATCCTATACGCCCGTGAGCAGAGGGGCAGGGCGCTGGGAGTTCTGAAGCCCGGGCCCAGCCCCAAAGGGATCAGAATATAGGGACCAGCACTCCACCCGGGGAAAGGGGCCACATGGGGTTAGCCCCAGCCAGCAGGACACAGAGCAGACTGCGGGTGTCTGCTTGCCTCTCACACACACAGGCAGACACGCCCAATGGCAACAAAAGGGCACGTTGCTTTCATAGAGGGACAGAGCCAGCTCCCGGGGCGAGGGTGTGTAAGCTGGGGGCGGCTACTCAGGTGGGGCGCTGCTCTTCCCTGTGCTCTAGGGCTGCAGTACAGCAGGGGCCAAGGAGTGACGAGCCAGAGCAGGCGAGGGGAAGGGCCAGCAGCCTGGGGATGGAGAGGCATGGCTCCCCACCCTGGGGACCCAGCGGGAGCACAGGGACAGCGGGCTGGCTCTTGGGGCAGGCGGGGAAGGGAAGGAGATGAGCCAAAGGGCCCGGAATGAGAGGAATGCAGCTTCCTGAGCCGCTCCGGCTGGGTTTGTGGGTCTTGGGCCACTTCCAAGATACCATGAGGGTTTCCCACCCTTCGTCAGGAACCCGCTGCACGTCCCAGTCAGCTGGAGAGGACGCAGCACAGAGCAGAGAGGCAGCCAGGAGAGATGGTCTGGCAAGAGAAAGGGGCTTCATGCGTGCGGGAGGGGGTCTCTTGGGCAGGCAGCTCCCCAGGAGCTCGTGCACCAGCATTGGTGAAACTAGGCTGCGCACGCCTGTGCAAGCGTGACTGCACGGAAGCTTGTGCGCACATGCATTTGAGCTGCAACTGCTGAGGGGGGATGCGAGCAAGCGTCCAGGCGACGCGACCTGCTGCAGAAGCGGCTGACCAGGGCAAGGCGGGGGCTCAGCCCAAGAGTTTGCCTGGCGCTCCCAGGCACGTCCTCACCCTACAATGCAACCCCTGGGGCAGCCGGCCAGGCAGATTCCCTTGCCAAACAATCCCTTGTGAGCGCCGTAGATGGCGGGGGAGGGCCAGAGGAAGCCGTGAGTCAGGCTGGCATGTGGCCGCGCCCGGGTCAGCAGCGAGGTATTTTTAGGATGCACCCATCACACCGCCTCCCCCCCCCGCAAAGACAGTTTCACGTTCTGGACAGTCAGAGTCATCAGGAGACAGCGCAAAGAAACTTTCCACCTCCCCACTGGGGCAGGGCCCAGCTTCCCAGCTTCAGGGGAAAGAGAGCTCCTGGCCTCCCTTCCTCTGGGTCTGGCTTAGACCATAAGCGTCAAAGCAGCCGCTGCAGCCAGCTCATCCGGGCCAAGCAGGTGAATCGGGGAGGGTCATGGAGAGCCAGCCCCGGGGGCGACTGGATTGACAGACCTGCCACGCAGGGTCCCTCTCCTGCAGCCTGGCCATCCGGGGGGGCCGTGTCCAGCTCCAGCTTCCGCTGACTGGGGCCTGCCCCATGCTGCAAGGGGCTGTCACAGGACACCCCTGACCTGCCCCTCCCAGAGGCCAGAGGCTTGCTGGAACCAGTCAGACCCGGGCTGCAGGGTGGTAGCTGCCAAAGCTGCCTGCTCCGTCATGCGCACAGCGTGCTGGTTTCCAGAAGCAGCCTAAAGGCCCCCTGAGGCCAACAGCAGAGATGGCGTCTCCCGAAGCAGGGAGGAACAGACACGCTGTGCCTGGCACAGCCCCACCCTACAGAACCCCAGCCCTGCCCTGCATGCCGCCTGAGCCACAGCTCTGTGCCCAGCATGCCCCTGCCTCAGAAGCACAGCACAGCTGATCCCCTCACCCAGCCTCAGAGCCACCCAGAGCACAGCATGCCCACCCCATAGCATGCCACAGCCCCCCACCCACCCAGGAGCCACAGCTCTGTGCCCAGCATGCCCCCCCCCGGCCCTCAGAGCTGCAGCATAAAGCCTGGCACAGGACCCCAGAGCAGTGATCCCCAGGGTGTAGCAAAGAGACCAGGGCAAGACCCCTCTGTATTCCAGCCTTGTATCCCCCATACAGGCCTCAGCTCTCTCTTGTACGCCTCTGCTGCTCCATGTAAACAGAGGGAGCTGGAGCCCTGAACCCCGCTCAACCTTTGCCCAGGCTGGTGTGCTTCCACCTCTGAGGGGCAGGGGGGAATAACCCTCATCCCTGGCTCCACAACCTGTCCATGCAGGAGGTGTAGGCAGGAGCAGTACAGGGCTGAGCCCTGGTAATGGCGTATTGTCTTGGGACATAAATAGTGCTGTACCGATTTGTTAACTAACCCCCAGCCCTCCGGGAGAGGTGGAGGGATCATTACCCCACCCTGCACAGCAGGAGAAACTGAGGCACAGAGGGGGTCAGTAACTTGCCCAAGGCTAGCCAGTGAATCAGTGGCAGAGCCGGGAAGAGAACCCAGGAGTCGTGACTCCCAGCTCCACCCCTTAGGCCTTGTTGCTGTGATGAAAAGAGCTAGGACTGATCCTGCTGGAGTGATTGCTAGTTTGAACTTGCAGGACTCCAGATTCCTCCACGCTCTTCTCCATGGCACCATAGACCCCCGACGCCCCACCTGGACACTGCACCACTCCCCAGCACAAGGGGGCTGGGGGGGGAAATAGCGAAGCCAGACCCCCGAGCAGATCCCTGCCCTGCTGAGGAACAGGGAGCAGCACAGCGCGGACACGGGCAGGCGGATCTCACCTGTCCACTTGAAGCTGGAGCCGGCCGGAGCTCTGCTTGATCTTGTTCTGCGCCTCCACATTGAGCATGTCGGCCGTGCTGTTGCCATTGATGGAGACGATGACGTCACCAGGTCGGAGGTCCCCTGCAGCTGCCTTCCCGTGCTCCGTCACCTGCGCAGCAAGGGGGCGGGGGGAGCGGGAGAACACCCAGGCATTACTGCAGAGAAACAAACCGCCCTGGGGGGGGAGACAATGCCAGGGGCAGAGGCCTGCCAGCCACCTCCAGCATACCATGGCACAGGAGACACTGCCACCCTCGCCCAAGGAGCAGCGAGAGGGGAGGGGGAGATAAACAGGAGGGCCTTCCCAACCTGCTCTGAACAGATGACACACACTGGCCCAAGCTCAGCCCTGCCTTGGGCTTGCATTTACCATCACCTACCGCCACGCCACCAGCTTCCAGCTTTTCCCCCAGCTTGGCTTCTCGGTGGGACCTCTTTCAGCCCAGCCTCCGGCCCTGCCCATGGTTGGCCAGAACACACTAGCGGTCACACAGGTAACTCTGCAGTGAGGAGGAGCCCAAAGGGATGGCCAAACCCTGCGAGGCAGCAGCGATTTCTCTATCTGCCCCTGGCCGGCTCAGAGGAGCCCAACATTCCACTCAGGGGCCTAGAGCTTTCGCCCCCAGACAGGAGGTTCCCAGACATCGTACCTAGACCTGGGGGAGGGGAAACCATCCCTGACCTGGAAACCAGATAGCATCCAAATACCCTGCTGCCCTTGGGAAGCGGCTGTCAAAATGGGGCCACAGTGTAGGGAGTAGACCTGGGGCAGAGGACACTGCTGAGTTTTTGAGTGGCTACCCGCTAGCCCTGCGGGTGAGACTCCCCAGGCACCCCTCTCCCACCCCCAACACTACATGCCTTACTCTCTGGCCAGTGCTCAGCGAAGCTGGGCAGTATTTCCTTTTATCCTCCTCCAACACTGTGCAGTCCCATGCATGACTATCCTGCTCTGAATACAGAATTATTCATTTCCTTGTGGGCTTCTTCTACAGTGCTCTCATTGCAGTCTTCATTCTTTGCAAATATGAATTAACAAATTCACAGAGCCCAGGAGGTGAGGGGTGGTATTACCCCCCCCCCCATCTTATAGGTGTGAAAACTAGGCACAAAGATTAAAGCCAAAATTATCAGCTAATTTTGGGTGTCCATTTGAGATGCCTGGAGCCTGATTTTTCAGCATACTTAGCAACATGTAGCATGTTATATGCTCACAGCCCAGCTCCCAACTCACCTCAGGCAAAACTGGGAGCGCTCAGCACTTCTGCTTATCTGGTCTCAAGTTGGACACCCAGAAAATGAGGAACACACAATTAGTGACCATCTGTCAAACAAATGTCCGGTTTAAGTGACTTTCCCAGCATCACACAGGAACTCTGTGGCAGAGGCAGGAATAGAATGCAGTCCTGGAGAACTGGATTCAACCACCTTACCTATGAGACCATCCTCTCTCTTCCTGCAGCCTCCTGCCTCATTCACTACACACCTGCCAACCTCTGCAACAAATGAGGCAAATTCCATTCTCAGAAATGGCTGAACCATTTTCGCTGAAACTTTCCAAAAAAGTTCAGCCTGAGACAGCCAGTTGGCATGGAAGATATCAGGCCAAAGGCTTAAAGTTTGGCTTTGGAAAACAGGGCCTTAGAATGGGAAATGTCCAGCAACCTTAACTGTAGGCCTCGCTACCTGCGCTACCTACAATAAAGTGACATGACTCTAGTGCTGGGGAAAGATGCCAGAGCGACAGCTGCAGGGCGTAAAAGCTTCTGAAAATCCACAGTACAGCACAGGATGAGTTCTGTCTTACCAATGTACCTCAACCCTGATTCAGAGGGACCACCCCTAAGGCTGGGGGAGGGTGTTGAATCTCCATGGTCCAGCTAGTCCTTGGCCTCTCTGCTGAGGCGGGAAGGGCTCTCGGTCACAGCCAGCCTGCTCACGGGTCCCAGCTGGTGACTTGGAGGCAGAAGGCCCCACCTCCCACTCCTGATCTCTCCTGATTGAGGCCAGGTTTACAGTGGACACCAAGGCCAAGGCCAGAACAACAACAGAGAGAAACTCCTCTTGGCCGGGGGTGACGTTAGGGCCCGTTGTTTTTCTCCGCACACGTGCACCACAGGGACTTCTAGCCTGTTCCCACAGAGCAGGATTCCTCAAGGACGGTAAACAGGATCTGCTCCCAGGTCCCTTGGCACCACGCCCACTCAGCGGGCAGCTGGCTTCCTCTGCAGCCCCTGCCCTTCGCCGATGGGAGAGCGAGCGGCTGCGGCACGGGGGGATGGAGAGGACAGTATGCCAGCAGAAAGATGCGCGAGAGCCAGCCAGATTATACTAGGGAGCCATGGGGAAATCCACAGGGAGCTCACCCCAGGATCAAGCCTGCCACACCCCCACCAATGGGGAGCTGGACCCAGTGCCTGGGCTCTTCCCTTTCAGATCCCCACAGGAAGGCACCTGCAGCATCCCTGCTGGGGGACAGCCTCCCACTCTCTGCAGCTTCTTTACCCCCCCTCCTGGACTGGCTGCTCTCCACCTGGGGCTCCTTGAACCACTGCAGCTAGCCCAGCACATGCCACTTAGCAGGAAGAGCCATAACTCCGGGCATCCCCCTGGCTTCCCGGCTCCCGTTCCAGCAGCTTCTTCCAGAACGCAAAGCCGTGTCCAGCTGGGGGCCTGGCTGCCACCCTCTCTGCACGCCACCAGCCAAGATCCCTTTGCTGAGACCCCAGACACACCCTCAGGCCACTCCCAGGCTAGGCTTTAGAAGGTGTTCGCTACTCGTTAGCCGAACCTGGACAAGGCAATGTGCCTTGACATGGGTTTAACTGGGCACGGCACATTCTGGGGGGAGCCTAGCTTGAACTCGGCCAGTTTAACACGCCTGTGCTAGGCTGCTAACCCGGGTTGTCTAGCCTAGGATTTGGAAGCGTTAGCTAAATCCTCAGAGCCGCTCCCCTTGCCAGCCCATCAGAAGCTATTCACCTCCAGAGCACAGGCAACGCTCACCCTCTCATCCAAGGCGCTTGTGCAAGGCCATACAGGGATTCAGTGGCAGGGCCAAGATTAGAACCCAGGAGTCCTGGCTCCCAGTGCCCCGCTGCCCAAGTGCCTAGAGCACACTCCAACACAAGCAGACAAACCCTGGGACATACCCGTGTGGATGCTCCTACCTTGGACACAATGATGGGCTTCCTGAAGTCCCTTCCTCCCGTGATACGGAAGCCCCAGGGGGCCGGGCCGGTCAAATTCACCGTCATTGACATGGCGACGCCACCAGCGGCAGGCTGGGCAGCGCAGTGGCACCTGGAGGAGGATCTGAAAATGGAATGAGGCCAGAGCGTCAGGGCTGGGGGTGAGGAAATCCGGGGGGCAGCGAGGGACAAGCTGAACCCAGCAGCATGAGCACTTTAGGCTGTTGGGGAGTCCGGGGTTGAGAGAGATCTTTTTTTTTGCCTCGCCCAAAGCAGGTCAGTGGCAGAACCAGAAATAGAACCCAGGAGTCCTGGTTCCAGTCCCACTGCTCTAAGCCACTAAATCCCACTCCCCTTCCAGAGGTAGAAATGGAACCAGGAGTCCTGACTCCCACCCCCTCCCAGCACCAAGCATTAGATCCCACGCCCCTCCCAGAGCCAGGAACAGAACCCAGGAGTCCTGACTCCCAGGCCCCCTCCTCCAATCCCGAAATCAAAGCTAGAAGGGCTGCCCAGCAGTAATCGGGGCCCCCACCCTGGCTCGTCCCAGCGCTGCCCTCTCTAGCAGGGCAATCGGCACACTACGTTCATTCGCCCTGCTGCTCTTTCCTTCCGGGGAGGGTAGCTGCGAGACACAGAGAAGTGTCTTTCGCTGTCACAGGTTGGTGCTAACAGCCTCTGCCTTCCTGTTGCAGACCTGAGACCAGCCAATAAGGCCAATGGTTTCTTTTCCTAACCACAAGCAGCTGGGGCGGATGGAGGGGGCTCCCTGCGAAGAAACACCCTGTGGGCGCAGGCTGCTGGCTCACAGGGCCTGCTCCAGCCCCGCCCCGCCCAGCCCAGCAGAAAAGGGCACAGAGAACAGGGATGGGGAAGCTCTAGCATCACCCTGCAGAGGGATCAGGCACACTGGGGAAGGCACTGGCCGGATGGTGCCAGCATCAACCCAGCATTGCAGGTGGCAAATTAGTCTCGTTCTGGGGCTGCCCCCTACACATCTCGAGGCCCTTTTGCAATCCAGAAAATGGGTGCACTGGCAGAGCCGTCGGCTGGTAAACGCGACACCTGTGGGGTGAGCCAGCACGCTATGGGGATGGTGGGGGCATCACGCACAGCAGGGCTTGGGGCAGACGAGGAGGCCAAGGGGACCAAGCCAGCTTCAGGAAGGAACCCAGGTAAGAACCCTGCTGGGACCCCAGGGAATGGGGACCTAGACATGGCACAGGAGTTGGCATAGCCAGGGTCCAGAGAGGAGCGAACCTAGGGCAGGGGGCCCTAGGGAGAGCAGTGCCAGGCTGTAGGACCAGGGCCTATGGAAGACGGCTCGGAGAGGTGGCAGAACAGATAGCAAGGATGGTGCTGTGGGCAAGGCGGTGAGTATTGGGGGGTGGGGAGAGCTGGTCAAGAGCGTGTGTTGGAGAGGAGAGGACCACGGGACTGGCAAGAGGCAGATGGTAATAGTGCAAAGGCAGAAGATCGCTGAAACTTGAGCAGAAGGGAGATGGTGGGAGCAGAGACAGAACAGCTGTCAGTATCGGGGGGGAGGGAGGGTCAGAAGAGGTCTTGGCAGGTCAGTGCTGTAGGCCTGAGCCAGGTGGCCCTCCCACCCCCTGCACTGCCAGGAAGCAGTGACAAGACAACGCAGGAAGTTTGCAGCCACAGGTTTGAGTCATTTGTTCCTGTGGTTCAGTAGAAGCTTTTCAGCTCCCTGAGTCCGCCCCGGAGAGGATGCTGGGCTGACACCTCCATGTGCCGACACCGCCCCCCCCAACTCCCCCCCAAGGCAGGCTGCAGTGGTCGGGGTGGGGAGAGACTGTCTTGGCGGGACAGCACAACAGCCCAGGGCTCTCAGCGAAGCAGCTGGTGGGGCCACCCCAAAGAACACACAAAGAGTCAGATCTGGGCAGCATCATGAGGGGGCGGCTGAGTTAGCCCATGTGGTGCTGCTCGTGTCCCAGCCCACTTTGTGCATCCTCTTCCGACTGAGGGAGGAAGGAAGGCCCCTGTCCCCTCTAGCACCCAAAGGACCAATCCACCTGGCACTGCTCCCATCCCGCAGGGGCAGCCTCACTGCACAGCCCCGGGGATGACCCGATGCTCCGCTCCCCCACGTCTGAGTGGCTGGAGTCAATAGGTCAGACCAGGGCCGGCTCCAGGCACCAGCCTGGCAAGCAGGTGCTTGGGGCGGCCGCTCTGGAGAGGGGCGGCACATCCAGCTATTTGGCGGCAATTCGGCAGACAGTCCCTCACTCCCATTCAGAGCGAAGGACCTCCCGCCGAATTGCCGCCACGGATCGCGATCGTGGGTTTTTTTTTTTGTTTTGTTTTGTTTTTGTTTTTGGCTGCTTGGGGCGGCCAAAACCCTGGAGCCGGCCCTGGGTCAGACACAGCCCCAAGCGCTCCTGACCCCTGCAAGCCTTCACCACATGCAGGCCCCCTCCCCGGGGAGGTTAGGTTCACATGCAGCTTGGCAGAGAGGGAGGAAACAGGGCTGGTGGCCGGCTGGCCCTGACACCTCTTCCATAACCGTCAGGGAAACATCTTAAAAATCCCAGGCGCACAAAGAGGGGCTTGAGAAACCGCTGGGAAGAATTTCCTGTGCTTGGCTTTGCAGCGCCAGTAGGAAGCGCCTCCCCCCCCAGACACACACACACCAGATACAGACATGCCCTGTGCCTGGCAATCCTCTCTGGACTCCAGCAAGGCCCCCCATGAGTGAGGGGGGTGGGAGAGGCAGGGAGGGGGAGAAGGGCTGAAACCACCCATCCCGCCCAACAGCAGGGTGGGCCTGTGTGCCTATGAGTGCCCAGGCAGCCATCCCAGAGGCTGGATGGGGGCACAGAGAGCCCCTTTGCTTGTGACACTCAGAACCAGACAGGACAAAGCACTAAGAAGGGTCCCCTCTTGGCGCCCAACATCTCTGACCTCCGTGCCCCGCAGAGACGTCCGCTACGTCACCCCTGCAAGCTCACCAGTGACTGGCGCGTACCCCAAGGCCAGCGCTGCCCACAGCATGACTTGAGGCACAGGGGAGACACAAGGTGCTGGCTGACAGGCAGAGAGAGCCACCTCCGTTAGCATGGGGAAGCCCTGTGGCTCGTACATCACGTCGGCAGCACGGCAGAGGGAGAGATTGCTCCTGGGTGCATGACACTTTGGCATCAGCAGTCAGGCTGGATTAGCTCCCTGCAGGGCAACTGGAGGGGTGGCAAGAGGAGGCCGGGACAGCACAGAATGGGGCTGTCTTTGAATAAAGAGCCGGGGCAAAGCTTGCTTGGCCAAGGGGGCATGCAAGCACCCTGTCAGGGAGCAGGGGCAATGGGGTGAGGAGGTGCCAGGCCTCCTGCAGCCAAGGTGCTCTCAGTGGCCGTCCTCCCCCCGCATGAGGAAACAAGCTAGTTACTAGACAGTCCCAAAATAGCTCCAGCCCCGGCTCCCCGCCGCAGCACAGCCTGTCATTACCCCACAGCCCTAAAGCCCGAGAGACGCTTTCCAAGTCTGCAGCGCAGCAGGCAGGGGTCAGAGTCCAGAGACAGGGCAAAGCTTGAAGCTGCTGGCTGGGCAGGGGAGCAGGGACGCTCCCAGGGCCCAGGACACCTGCAAGGAGCAGCCAGAGCATCTGCAGCCCCTGCCAGCTCCTCTTATCCAAGGGCTGGACGAGAGCCCCCCGCCCACCCCGGGTGCCCTCACCCCCAGAACCCCAGCACAGGCTGGGGGGGGGCAGGGTAAAGTGACCAAATACCAAGTGGGGACTTTTTCGGGGGGGGCTGGGGGTAGAGTTGCATATATAAGACAAAGCCCCTAATATCCAAGCACCCTAGGGCAGGAGCCAGAGCAGCCCAGGAATCCCAGCCCCCCAGGCGGGCTCTCCCTGCACCCCGACAGCAGCCCCGGGCACTTACCTCGGGGCAGAGACGCCACTTCTCCCTGGACTCCCCGACCCGGAGCGGAGCGAGCAGCCCCCGCCCGCGGGCTTCCAGCCCAGCCGCTCTCGGCCCGGCGAGCAGACGGCCCGCTCCGCGGTGTCCTTTGCAGGGGCGGCCCGGCACTAGCAGCCTCCTCCCGCCCCATGGGCAGGGGCTGGCCGCTCGGCTAATGAGACAATTGGAGCGGCATGGGCGAGCCGGCCCAGCGGCGCCACCTGGCGGCGCAGCCCCGGACCTGCCGCCCGGCTGGGACGCCCGCGGTCCCTCGGGTGGATCCCAGGCACAGGGGCTTTCTGGAGCCGGGCAGCGGCAGCTCGCATCCCATTGGCAAAAGTGACTCAGGCAACTAGGGCCCCCCCATGTCCCCACAGGGCCTGAAGCCCAGAGGTTTGCGGGCACCCAACTCCTGCTGACATCAATAAGAACAGCCCTAGGGGGTCAGACCAAAGATCCATCCAGCCCAGTATCCTGGCTTCCAACAGTGGCCAATTCCAGGTGCCCCAGAGGGAATGAACAGAACAGGTCATCATCAAGTGATCCATCCCCTGTCACACATTCCCAAGAAGCTCAGCATCATCCCCATTTTACAGATGGGGAAACTGAGGCAGAGAGCAGGAAAGTGACTTGCCTGAGATCACCCAGTAGCCAAGTCAGGAATAGAATCCAGGTCTCCCAAGTCCCAGTGCAGTGCTCTAGACACTAGGCCGCAATGCCTGCCTGAAGTTAAGCCCCCTAACTACTCTTGCCAAGCAGGGCCTGTCACTCCTGGGAGCCTCATTGGAAAGCTCTGGGAGGCGGGCGGGCACAAGCCCATCTGCTTCTACAGGCCCTTCCCCCAGCCTTCCGGGAGGGACCCCTGGACCCGAGATCCAAATGTGTGCGGGGGACAAGTACAAAATAACAGGGTCAGGAGTGAAGGCCAAAGGTGCAAAACTAGGGATCCAGAGGGGGACACCGAGCAGAGAACCCCAGCTCCTGGGGGTAGCCCACAGGCACCTGTGTGACCTAGCGGCTCTTGGAAACCTGAACCAATGGCAAGAGTGACCAGAGCAGAGAATGACAATCACACACACACTCCGGCACACACCGAGGCCGGAGAGGAACCAGACTCAGCTGAGGCTAGTGGTGAGAACAAGGGGAAGTCATGGGGCCCGTCAGGCTGGCTCTGGAAGAGAGACAGTCACACTGGCACTGAGGTGCCTGTCTGATGGGGTGGGTGGTCAGCCGCTGGCATGGGCTGCCCGGAACAGGGCGGATTCCCTGTCCCCAGCAAGAGAATGGACGTCTCTCTAAGAGCTCCGCTCTAGCTCAAGTGACTGGCTGCAGGCAGGAATCACTGGTTGGAATTCTCCGGCCAGCCGGCAGGACGCAGCTCAGACTGGCTGGTCACAAGAATGGCTCCTGCTGTCCTTACGATCTACAAGGGAGCAGGACGACAGAAAGGAGATTGCATAGGGGCTTCAGAGGCTCACACAATCCTTCCCCACCTTCCCGTTTCTCCTCTGTAGATACTGTCCCCGCCACAGGCCCCACAGCCCTGTGTTCATTACCTCGGAAGAGCCAGATTGCAACACCAGGGTCACAGGCAATGTTGTCTGTGCTAAGGAACTGTGCCCAGCCTCATTGACAACTGACTGTGTTGTTATTTCTCTCCTCCTTCCTCCCCACTGTAGCTCCTTGCCCCTCATCGGGGTGGTGGCAGGCTGAGGGCTGCTCTGGAGGATCTGATACGATTAATTGGCTGTGTGTGCGTGCCACTGCTGTCTACTGGGTGGAATCAGAAGTGCTCATCTGTGTGGCATAAGCACTACACTGCTGCCGGCTGTTGGAGAATCTCCTTTAGCTCAAGTGGCAGAGGCCTGTGATTTCAAGCAGGGAGAGCCGAGTTCTGTGCATGCTGCTGGTGTGATGCTCTCTAGCACATAGCAGAGGGACCATGGGGCTGGAGGTTTGTTACCATAGCTCAGCTAGTCCCTCCTGCTGGCAGCCCCAAGACAACCTGGAGTCCTCAAATCCTGACATCCTCTAGGCACAGCTCCACGGAAATGCAGCCACCTCTACAGTGGGAGGTAGTGACCTGGCAATACAGCGCAGCCAGTGTGTGAGGGGAAACCTCGGCCAAAGGCAAACTCCAGCCTGTCAGGGAAATGCCCTGGACCCTTTAATGGGAAGGCAGGGCAGACAGAACCTGGGTTTACAGTTCCACACTTAATAAACAGCCTGGCACACGGGTTAGCTCCTTCTGATGGGGAACAAAGCGCTCCCAGGATTTGAACCTGTGGCTCTAGGGAATCTCAGTTGCCCACCTGCTGGTTGTATCCCAATGCTGTTCCCTCCAGTGATGGCACTCAAATAGCAGGTAAATAGCACTGCCTGCTGACTATTCTGCAGCCACGCAGTGCAGAAGGGCTGACGTTGCATGTGTAATTACAGCCCCTCCTGCCTGGGTGCTGACCTGAGGACCACCTGCCCCGATCCCTCCCCCTATACACAGCTCCCGGGCCAAGGGGCACCCTGCCCACTCCCACTGATTCAGTGAGGTTTACTGGTGAGTAACTCAGAGCAGAAGGTGGCTGCCAGTGTGTCCAGCCCTGTTCAGACTTTATTCACTGGGGTGCGGGGAGCCTGCCTGGAACCCAGGGCCCACCTTTCACTTGTATGAAATTGGGGAAGTTTGCAGCCACCCTTGTTCCTAGCGAGGGCCAGCAATGTTCCAGCTGGGGAAACTCAGAGCCTTCTCTCAGTGCCTGGAGATACTAGTGTCCAGGAATCCCGCCAGTGCGTCCTAGCACTGCCCCTAGGATGGGTCAGTGTAATGGCCTGTGCGGCCCAAATCGCTGAGACCCCCAACTGGATCTGCAGCCTGCCCGTGGAGGTCCAAGGCGAGCTCGGGGAGAGGCAGCTCAAGGAGGCCAGGGCTGGAAAGGGATGGTACAGACATTGGGCCAATGTTGTCCTGACCCCTGGGTTGAGCCAGGCCCTGTTGAATCAACAGCCCCGACCATCAGAATCGCTACAAGAGATTCCGGGGCAGGAGTAGGCTGGTCCCGCACAATTGAGGCCAGGAGGCTGCTCGGGGTGAGTGTCTGTGAGGGAGCAGCTAGAGGCTCTGTAGGGAGCCAGGGTGGCTGCCCTCCGAACCGGAGGTAAAAGGGCC